GTGAAATATATTTATGTTTGTGGTTGTAATGTGACAAAATATGGAAAAGTTCAAGGGGTATGAATACTTTTGCAAACCACTGTAGTTTTGTTTCAGCATAAAAAATGACAGAGACATGCAGTCATTTCTCACTGTACTGCAATGATAAAACCATTTAATTGATTTTGAAATTACTCAGCTACACTTTTGGCATCTAAGCAAACCTCACCACTCGGAATTTTCTCAAACAAATGGCTCCTGACACATAGCTAAACCTGCCTTTACAAATGTCCAAAACATGCCTCATTGTAAAAATAACTTACCACTAGCAGTGATGACTTGTTTGCACTGTGGGGATCTTATGTTAATCACCTAAACCACTCTTTAAACCAGATTTTACTTGGCTTTGAAAATAAAATCTTTTAATCATTTCTGTATAGTGCTACAGCATCTGAAACGGATGCAGAAAAATACACAGAAATGAAACTATATACAAACAGCTTGAGAGAAGACTCAAAATCCAAATACAGATAAAACGAAGTAGAATAATTAGTTTTTTCTTTCACCTACAGACTTATAAATACCAGTAGGCCATTAAAAACAGCAACATTAACAAAATCATTCTCCAGCAATGACTGAATAAAGAGAAGACCGTACATCACACACAGAAGACAACAAGCTGAGAGGCCCAAAACCTACAGAGATGTTTTACCAAAGCTTATTAAGGAAACATTCAAAAATCTGGCCTTGAAGTACATCAGAAAACTCTCCCTCTATCTTCCAGTCTTCTTTCAGAGACACAACAAGATTCAAAGGCAAAAGTGGCGGGGTCAGAGGGGAATGGTTTTAATTGGTTTTGAATTGTTGTCCTGAAAGGCACTTCATAAAGAAAATGCATTATTATTATCATTATCATTATTATTATTAAACCAGGTCATAGATGCAAAAAGTTCAGCGAAACATTTCACTTTCATTTTACACATTTATTCAAATTATGCTACTCGTGCATGAAAATTCTTGAACTTTAAAAAAATCTACTTTAGACAATGTGATCAAGTCAGTCCTTTTCAAGCAAAAAAAAAAAAAAAAAGGAAAAAAAAACAACTATTTCCACATGCAAGGTGTGTGGGAAGCTACACACCCACCCTTTGCCACCATGAGTTTACACAAACCTCCAGACTCAGCAAAATTAAACACTAAAGTCTAACCAAGGACACACTGAGGAGAGCATGACCTCTGCTGCTGGTGGATGACACATTTTAATAAGCCGTGACAAATTTTTTAACTCAACCACAAATGCACGCATTCTGGTATGGGGCTTTTAAAGACGCCATTTAGCTGAAAAACGCTGCACTGTGTGTGAGTTCAGAGAATCTTCTGTGTGTGTGTGTGTTTCAGATAATTACAGGAAGGACATGCCTTAACAGTACATTTGATCTTCCTACAATCTGTCAGTGTGGTTTTATTTTCTGGGCCTGTACAATCATATTGTAGGACAAAATGACTCTTTACCAATAACTATGTTCATTTCAGTGAAATTTCAGCAATTCTGTAGAAATGTGCAGCTTAAGTGCACATGTTGCTTTGTTCGCAGAGCTGTTTACTACAGCTGCTATGGTTTTAATTTCTGCTGTTTTACATGTGTGCAGTCAGCTGGGAGTCCTACATTTGTCCTTTTCTGTGGGCCACTTGGTTTTAATCAACTCAGCTGGCTACAGAACGTCCAAACACTGCCTGTAATTTAAAGGAATCCTAGACTTGCAACATGTGCTATAATGCAGCATACAAACCAAGCTTTAAAGGCGCTTTTTTCATACCACTACTATGTCTTTGTGTAAACTTAAGAGATCATTGAACTAAAGGGGTTCAATGTGATCATTATCTGGCAATAATACAAGCAAGTATTTTTACCAACAAGCTTGCTGACAGTTAATTTTTCAACAGATATGTCAAGGGCAAAAGAATTGTTATTTTTAATTCAAGCCCTTTGGGTTTTTTTTTTGGCAACAATGGAAAACTTAAAAATATAGGCCAAGAAAATATAAAAAATATRCATGATTAGAAGCAAACAG